GGGCCAGGTTTCGGTTCTGTCTCCCGGACCTGGGTACAGTTCTCCGACCCTAAGGGACTCCCAAGGAGGGCCGCCACGGACCCCTCCCCGGAAGGACTTTCCGACTCAGCGGCCCGGGGCCCCTTGGCCCTTCCCAAGCAGCGGGCCGAGCGCGTGGACGCCGCTTCCTTCCCACTCCACCCCAGCTCACCGCCCAGTAATGAAGCGCCGCCGCTCCTCCGCAGGACTATCTCCCAGAGCGACCGACTTTGCAAGGGGTCGGCGCGGCTGAGCCCCCTAGATGTGGGACACTCACACAAACAGCTTGTGCCCTCGCAGTCAGAATCGCACACACGCGCACACGGATACAGGCCCACAATCACAGCAGCCACGATCCAGCTTCCCAATCCCAGCTATCCCGCTCCCACGTTGCGACCCTTTCCCTGAGCAAGTTCCTGGAGGGAAGGAAGGGGGTGGAAGCCAGACCTGGGGAGGCCTGCTTGGGCCTGGCAAAGCCGGGGAGTCCCCCTCTTTTCCTAAACTAATCCGGGTAGAACGGAACAAGCCAACGCACAGCAATCCCAGCGCCCGAATGCCGTTCTCCCAGTACTGGGAGCTCCAGCCAAGGCGGGAGAACTGTGTACAGAGCGGAGAAACGGAGAGGTGCACGCAGACAGAGACAGAGGGTAACTGAGAGAGCAGAAGCGGGGGAGAAGAAGTAGAAGAGAGGAGAACCAAAGAGAAAATGAGATGGCTGAGGGCGTGGGGTTGTCCCGTAGATATGCCAGCTACCCTGAAACTCAGTCTCCAGCCGCATCTCCTGCACCCGCCTGGGGAGGTCACGGCCGAGCAGCAAAAAGCACAAATGAATCTCTGCACTCCTATCCTTTTTGCACAACTCCAAGCCATCAGCGGAACCTGAATGCCCAGAAAACATTATAGGAGTACCACTCCTCACCCACCACCAGGTGCCCGGGAGCTGAGTCCCTAGCAGGCTGCTTCCTGCTGGAGGCTGATCCCACTGGATAAATAGCTCGGTTTGCCCCCACCCCCACCCTTGCCTGGATTCTGTCTGGTCTTTACTTTCAGGATGGTGAGGGATGAGGAATGGAAGTTCTGGAGAGCAGCCTCTGTGACAGTGCACAAATCTGAAATCCCCAACTGTGGACCAGCGACCACCACTTCACCATTTGCTAAACTGGGGGTTACATTTTCCTCCCAGCTCACCACACAGACACACACCCTACAATCCTCTAACAAGAAATTTCGTTGGTGCGAAACGGAGCCCCTCACTCACCCACCCTCATTTCCCTCTCCCACTAGTTCAGACTCAAACATGGAAACAGCCCGGACTTGCCCCCACCAGCTGCCCTTTCTGCACAGCCCCGGTTTGTCTGGGTTTTGTTCTCCCCTCACTTGTGCATTAGACTAAGGGGAAAAGGAGAAAGAAAAAAATCTGAATCTGATTTCTGTCGCAAACGAAATTAAGAAAATAACTGCAAATAGACTCTAGTTCGGAAGTCGGGAGAGTCATAAACCTTCCTAGGCTGTGCAGACTTCGGACAGATGTTGACGGTTCAATTTGCTGGGCCTCAGAACCTCCGCAGCTGTCCTGAGCTAGGAGGGGCGCTGGAGGGGGCAGAGTTTCCCCTCAGTGGTCTGGGGTTCAAAGACTCCAGAAAGAGAACGAATCTCCCACACCCTCTCCACCCCCCCCACGCAAGGCTAGGACTGCTCAGGGGTCTCTTCCTTGGGCGCTGGCTTCCGAGGGTCACTGCCCTCATCCCAGCAGGCACCGGGAACTTAGAGGAAGGAGCTGGGGGAAAAACCAAGACGCGGCCAGGCTGGAGAATCCGGCCAGGCAAAGGGACCCTCAGTCCTTACTCAGAAAGAGCTCTCAAGCCCAGTTCTTCAAGCTTGTCGCCCTCGCCCTCCGGACATCTCACACCACCAGGCTGCATGCCAGGCCAAGCTCAGCACCCTGGGCCAAAGCCAGCCCTTTCTCTAGGGACCCTCACTGCCCAGCCTCGCTCTACGGCTGCCCCAGCTCCCCACCCTCAGTCGTTGACACAGACCTGTTTGCTGTCTGTTCAGCCTTGCTTTCTCTACCCTTGCACTTTCTGCCCAGCAAAGCAAGGGGGAGGCCCAACTCAAAAAGCTACCTCCAAAGAATAATTTCTCAGGGAAAAGGGCCTGCACCGAGGCAGCAAGGGGCTAAAGCACTCTCTTCCCGCTGCAGTCGAGGGCGCACAGGCTGGAGCCCAGGAGATTAATGTTCCTTTTGCCAGACCATTTGCAGCTTACACCTGGGAAGCTAAGGGCCAGGGTACCCTATATGCCAAGCACATTGAGATTCACTTCACCTCCAGGCAGCCGAAGCCCCGCACTTTCCCCTAACCCGATAGGGGCTCTGGATGCCCCTAGTACTCACCAGCGTTGTAGGCCGCCAGATCGGCCCCGGGGCCTGGGCTCTTGCGCTTCCTCGGTCGCCCCTTCTGCACAGTGCCCACGCCATTGTAGTAGGGCAGACCCAGCGGGTTGGCTCCTGCTGCGCCCAGCCCAGCACTCTTGGCCGGTACTCGCCCTGCAGCAGCGCCTCGAAGTGCAAGCGACAGTAGACCAGGCTGTCCTTCATGCCGAAATGGTCGCCCGTGGTCAGCATCTTGTTACACGTGGTGCACGTGAAACAATTGAGGTGATAAACCAAGTCCCGAGCGCGCATCACCATCTCCGACGCTGAGATGCCCAGGTGGCAGCGGGCGCAGCGCTGCACAGAGAACCGCCTGGAGGGACCACGGAGGGAGGGGCTGTGGGAACATAGGTCTGGGTACCCACCCCCCAATATCTCTCCTCCAGATGCCGCTGCTGAGGTGGGGAAAAATCCCCTGCTTAAGACGGAAGCCCGTCCTTCATCTGGAGCATGGGGGGAAAGAGAACTGGATTTTAACCCTGAAACAGTTTCCTTTAACCATGCTCCTGTCTACAGAAGCTTCTACTCTCCCCGAGTCTGAGCAAACCCTAGGAATAGGGAGGAAATCCCACTGGTCCCTTCCTCAAACTTTACCCCACCTCGAAGCCAGCAGGAGCATCTGAGAATCCTATGGACCTTTGCGATTTGGAAGAACAGAGACAGAGAGAGTGTAAGAGATAGAGATATAGAAAGAATATAAACAGACCTTAACCCTAAATGGTAAACTAGGAGAAAAAAGGGAATTATTACTGATTCTGGTTAATCCTGGCCAGCTTTCACTCCCATCTCCCTGAAAGGCCTGAGGATGCACCCGCTCTTCTAGCTCCACCGTCGACCTGTTCTACACTAGCCCTGCCAGCTAGGGCTTGGGGTGCTTATTTCTGCCCCCTTTGGTTGACCCAAGAAACTTCAAAGGGAGAGGAGGGCAAGGATCCCAACAGAAGCTTATTTGAGGTTTAAGGGGGGGCAGCTTCTGCTTTTCTCTTGTCCCTATACATCACAGACTTTCCCAAGAGCTCCCTAAATTGCTGCTTTAAAAGGCTGTCATCCAGTCTGTACTGGCTTGGAGAAGGGGGTCCTGAGTAGGGAAACCTCTCCTGGGACTGGAGGAAAGAAGAAGGGCAAATTGTGCCTGAGATGGAGCGGGGTCTTGAGGGGCAGTGGGTGCCTGGGTAGGGGGGCTACCTGTAGTAGTCTTCCTTGCAGTAGATGCTGCCATCCTTGCTGAAACAGGTGAGCTCCGACTCCAGATTGAGCTTGCACTCGCAGCACTTGAGGCAACGCATGTGCCACTGCTTGTCCACCGCCAGCAGGTAGTAGCGGTCAGAGATTTTGCCCCCGCAGCCCGCGCACAGTGCAGCACGGTCACTGCTGATGGACGGCATGGTCTGCGAAGGAGGAGGTGGGAGACCACAGAGCCTGCATCAGCCTTAGGCTGCCTCCGTCAAAAAAAAACAAAACAAAACAAAACAGCCGCCCCAGTTCCCACTGAGGTCCCTGCTAGCCCTGAGGAGGGAGAGGACTGCCAGGGTGAGTGGAGCGCTCCCCTAGCCACAGAAGGCCCACATCCGTGCAGACCAGAACTTAGGCCCACAGGCACAGCCTCAGGAGCCACCAGCCCAGGGCAGCTCCCGGCCTGTATGGCTCTGCTCCTGCTTTACCTCTCTTCTTTCGGGTCCCCCTTGTCCTCTTCCCCAGAAATGCTCTGGCTGTGTTTAGGGTCCAGGACAGCCAGGAATATTCCAATACAGACCTCCAAGAGCAACCCCCAAATTGTTTCTTAAAGATGCCACCAAGCTGGGCCCAAGGTGAAGGGATAAGGGCGTTAAAAGTCAGTTCCACACGGACTTCTCTTCTGAGAGGCCGCAGTTTCTGGCCACCAGTCCCAGTGATCTCTGGATCCTTGGGCCAAAGGTTTAGGCCTGGACGGGTCAGGCAACTTCTGGCTCCTCTGTCAAACCAGCTGGAACCCTCTTGGATCCTGGAAGGTGGTGAGTGGGGTACAGAGGCACCCTCAAAGTCTCTCGGTGCAGGACAGGCCCAACCCAAATCCTCCCCTAACCAAACTGATTAGCCAAGAAGATTTAACCGCAAAGAAGGGCCCTGTGGCCCGAGGCCACCCGGGCTGCCCTGCCGCTAACTCTTACTCTCCCTGCAGAGAAGCTTCGCCTGGGCTTCCCACCACCTCCGCCTCTAAAGGTCACTGTGGACCTGCTGCTTGGGCAGCGTCTGTTCGTCTGTTCGTCAGAGCCCCTGGGGAGGACTGAAGCGAGGAACTGGCTATTTGGGCCTGGGCCGGCAGGGCCAGGTGTAAAGATCGGAATGGAGTCTCTTTCCGAGAAAGCCAGGCCGGAGCCTGAACTCCGGAGCCCTGGACTGGCTAAGTCCGGTCAGGCTAGAAGGCCAGAGACTCAGTCAACGAAAAGTGCTGGCCCAGAAGACTTGGGCCCCAGACACCGCGCGAGGCAGGGCGCCCCGATTGCTGGGAGGCTGGGAGCCGCCCAAGCCGGCAGGAGCCCCAGTGCTCCGGCTGCTTCGCCTTTCCCGGGCGCGCCGCGGACGGCGCCGGCAGCAGCCGGAGCTGAACGGTGGAGAGCGCGAGGCTGTGGACCCGAGCGCCGGGCGAGGTGAGAAGGGAGCCGCTAGGGCCGCGGGTGGGACTTCGCCTCCACTTCAGGAGAACTGCTCTCCCCAGCCCCTGGACTTCGACATTTCAGTTGCAACCTTGTTTTCCTCCTCTGCCCCAGTGGCCGGGTTTCCCCCGAGCCGGGAACCACCGGGCCTTGCATCCTGTCCGAGGATCCCCAGCGCCCAGTCCCGTGCGGCACGAAGGGCACTCCACAAACTTTGGGGAGCAGAGGTGCTGACCTGCCTGGCCCTGTCCCAGCTCTCAGCCCCGACCCCACAGTCGTGCGCCTACCGTCTCCGTGTCGCCGCGGTCGATGGAGGAGCTGATGGCGGGAGCCTCGCTCTTGGCCCTGCGGTCCATCTCGTCGATGACCCCGTGCACCTCGGGGCCCGACAGACTGTGGAACAGCATCGCGG